CAATTCATGTTTCAAAGATTGTTTTTAGTGATGAAACTAAAAAAAAACATCAACAATGACAACAAAACATTCATAGAGGTTACGAATTTGGGGTTTAAATAATTTTTTGTCCACGTAACTGTGTTAGTGCTATTGATGATTCTGATATACTTTGATTTAATTTAAATGATACGTCAGATATAACCCTCTTGGCCTGCCTAAAGGATCCAGGTCCTTCTGCTGACCGATCGAGTAAGATCTGTCGACGAATGTCAAAAGAAACTGACCAATCACGAGATGATGCCGCCAGGATAAAGAAATTAAGGATTGTTTGAGAGCTGACAGCTCTGTTTTATGTCCATTCTGAAGTGACTCTCAATGAGTTCAGTACATCCTTAATTTCTCGGCGTGTGCAGTTAGTTCTCCAGGATTTCGTCCCTAGATAAGAAAACCTGAAGTACTACACACTGATGAAGTAAAGTGGCGAATGTTTTTTAATAAAAGTTCCTGTCGTTGTTAATTACATATTGTGTTGAATCTGTTTCTTATTCTCAAGCTTAAAACTCAGCCTATATTAATTCAGCATTGTTCTGTGATAACCATATATTGTCTAATCTCTTGTTAAGCTGATTTATTTGATGAAGCTCTAGAGTATAATCAGTTTCATCTGAATCATACCAAATATGCAACAGTGGTTTAGGTACTCTGTTAATGTTTTGCTTTTTCAAAAGTTAATACAATATCTGTAGAACTTACAAAGTTTTTCTTTCACTAAGTTTCTTTCTATCATTCTGAAAGATCACAACAGACGTAACTGTCTATAAAGTAACACTCTAGATTTCGTTTCCTTCACTGAGCTATATTTACACAAAACCAAGTGGATACGGTCTTCATCACTTGAGGCAGTTAATATATCCCCACTTGTGATAGAAAATAGACTTATGTTTATGATTGGACTAATTATCTTTCTTGGCAACTGCTTATATTAAATTATTCTCCACGCCATATTTTAATTTTATTCCTCAGTAGCTATGTGAATAGTGTTTCCAAATCACATCAACTACCCTAGTAATCTACTAGTACAAATCAAGAGTTTTTATTTTTCTTGAATTAAATAGAGATAATATTTATTCACTCTAGAATGTTTTATCATTGCTTTCAAGAATTGAAAACGTATTTTATATTACAAGTTTTGACACTTTCGAAGTTTGGAAATGTTGTCTTTCTTCACACCAAAACTTTGTAACACATTTCAAGTTTAATAATTGAACAAATTATCGTTTCTTCACATCAAAACGTATTATTCTTGTTGATGGGCATAGTTATATTCCCTTCGCAACAAAGGTTTATGATAATTTTGGTTATTCAGAAGGTTATCCTTTAAATCCTTCACATCGGAATTTGTTAACAATAATGCTTGGAGACGGCTTCAATGGGTAATGAAGAAAAACTTTAATATAACTTTGACATAACAGCAAATGTACAACGTTTTGACAAGGTACCTGATGATGACAAAACGGAAACGTTGCTATTATGTCAAACTTGTATTAAAGTTTTTCTTCGTTACCCATTCAAGCCGTCTCCAACTATTATTAGTCTCAAAGTGGGTTCCTCGTCATCGAATTCAAAATCGAATTTGTTAACAATGTTTATGGTTTAAAAGATACTCCTTCTTTTATACAATTTTTAATACTTTTAATGACTGAAAAACGTTGTTGTTTTTTTTCGTTCTTATAAAAGTTTGTTTTCCTGGTGATTTTCAAAAGAACATTCATCTCTTATACCATTGTTCTTCCTTTTTCTTTCAATATTGTTGAAAATAATATATCTTGAGAACGGGTTGAATAGTTACCTCCATGATTCAGTGACAATCATTCAAAGATAAACTTTGTATAGAGTATTCCAAAACAAATATTAATTAACTAAACTTTGACATGATTTTAATTTCATATGAAATAGTTCATTGTTACTAGTCTCTAATTGCGAATAACGACATCGTGACTTTATGGTTGAATTAAGCATTCTGAATTTTCTATCAGAGGCCATCCCACGATCTACAAACACAAACCGGTCAAGAGTCTATACGACCGTAGTTTAAAAGGCCGATCATCCCTTTTAACACCCCACAAGACTGCTTCATAATTAAACCACGCGCCTCTATTCACAATTTCCACATAATATTCAGAACTAGCTCTATCTCTTTCTCTGTCAAATGACAACTACCAAATGGCTCGTGTACAAATACAGTTATCCAGGATTTCTTACAAACATCGACTCTTTTTCGAGAAAAATCCAGTGTAGTATTGTTATATGTTATTTCCTACTTTTTACCGTGCTTCTACTTCTATAACAATAAAAGTTGTATTGTTTTTCATTTCATATTGCCAAATTTGAAGCTTTTTCCATCTTCTGGCCATATAGAATGATATAAGACATAAAATGACTTAGAGCTTATAGATGAAAACAAGGTTGGGACAAATTGTGGTGAATTTTCACTAAAATCTGTAAGTTTGCTTCTTTGACTTTATTTTTTTCTCTTAAATGTTAGTTATTTTTGAAATAATAATTTTTCAGAGTAAGCTAAGATAAAATAATACCATATAACACAAAATATAAATCAATGTGAAAAAACATACATAGATGAACTGGGTGAGTGAGAAGACCGTTCACAGGCAATTCAGAAATGGACGGGAATAGGCAAATAATTGTTAGTAGTATAGGTTAAGGTATTTGAGGGTACCATCACACACCCAAAATGGCGTTGTTGTTCTTTTAACGGAAAGCTATACGATAGGATATCTGCACTCTGTCCACGTAAGGGATCGAACCACAGATTTTTGCGTTGTTTTTAAACTTATCGTTTATCCACCGGAAGACCAAATATGTAAATTGCAAAGAGGCGTACAAATTACAATGAAACATTTTAACATAAAAATACCAAATCGTCCCACAGCAACAAGAATTATGCTCATGTGTATAAGTCTTTTCTCGTGTAAGCATGCACATGCGTGTACACAAATAATCACGTAAATGCAATACGTTAGCAGGAAGCTGTCCACGTTCGTGCAGTTTTAACGTAAACTTTAACTTCGTGTTTCACTTGTCATGTTATAGCGTGTGGTGGAGGGATTTTATGTAGACTTATATATTTTGTTGATTACTTAACAAACGCAGTTGTCCAAACTCTATAATGCCATGTTTATTTAGACATAACTACTTTAAATATTGTGGAAAGTAAATGATTAAGTTATTTCAAATAGCATGTAAAATGATTAGTTTTCTATTTTACAATGAAATTTAGCTTTCCAAAGCTATTGAGAAAACTGGCAGCAGAAGATGAACGGTATAATATAATCTACGACATTTGAAGAGTTATAAAATGTTCAGTATAAAATACATTTTATTTTCTATCGTAAATTTTACACAGGTTATATTCGGATCAATTTTCTTAAATGTTTGTTGTTTTTATTTGCATTTCTACAGATTCCATTAACATTGGAAGAAACTGCCCCTCGGTTAATCCACATGTTTTATTCTTATATTTATTTTTGACAGAGACATACTATACGCCAACGAAAAAGGAATATATTAGGAAGAATATAATAGGCTTAACATCTGTTAGGCCTATTTGCCCTCGTACACAACACTTGCAATTCAATTCATTACCCTTAACTCTCAAAGAAACAGGAAAAACATTCAAAATGTAATATTCTTGAATCTCATAATTTTTCACTAGAGCACAAAAATTTCATATATGAATTCAAATTAAAACTACAAGTTAACATATATCAATAAGCGTTTCAATGCTTCTGAAAAATATAAAAATGTGTAAAGTTGCGATATATATATTTTAAATTTACAACTTTTCAAACCATATAAAGGTGCTGAGAAAATCTACATTAATGTAATCTTGTAATTTTTGCATAGTTAACAAACGAAATTCTTACACCCTCACCAGTAGACACTAGCACCAAGTGTGTAATTAAATTGTCGCATCACTAGTTTATTACAGAAATTCAATATTTTTCTTCCTAATAATGAACATATAGGTGATATATTTTTCTAGCGCATAAAAGTAATATTTTTATTGCTAACACACAAATGAATAATAAATTTTTCAACTAATATTAGGTACAATAAAGTACTAAACTTTACCACAGAAGAACACTTTACAAAGATACTATAACAGGTTAAATGTATAGATCTAGGACAAATGTAGCATGCATTCAAACACACAAAATAGAAAAAAAGTGAACAGAAGTGTATAACGAATAATGTGCTTCCATATTTAATAATAAAAAATACACATAAATAATGTTATGAATATACTTCTATGGGATTTTCATCCATAAACACAAACACGTATACCAGATTATATGTAATAGGTATTCAAGTTAGTTTCTTACGATTTCAATGTTTTTTTTTGTGACAGTATTGTAACTACCCCGAGTTTTCAGCCTTCTTTTCGAGTATTTCATATTAAAAGAAGAGAGGAAACTTCATTAGACTGTTTTACTGTTTTGTTTGTTACTTCATCGTTTTCTACTCGTTCAAGTTTCAAACAATATACGTTATCCTATATATATACATAGATCGATAATTGTTACGGTGCGTATCTTATCGATGATGTAAGACCATCCGTCGATCCAAATAGACTTAGTTTTCAATCAAAACTATGTCCACACGCAGGCTTAATAAATATGAAACATTTTAACTAGGAAAACCATCTGCAAATATATATAGTATATATAATGATAATAATACTTCTAAGATCTTGAAATATATCGTACATATGAATACATTGCGAAGTACAGGGGCATCTTGTTTTATTTTGTTTGATGTGTTGATGTACAAAATTCTTATATCCTGCTTGCAAATTTTGAACTAAAATATATATATATATACCTTTTGATTCTTACACATATATATCAAGAGGCAATGTGTCGCAACATATAAACGCATATTATAGAGTAACTCAACTTATGAGATAATCGAGTACCTACATGTGAATGATAACTAACCTGTCCCGACCACTCTTGTACTTCGCGGCCAAACTTCGCATGAAGTCACTGTAGTTCCAACTCATCGTACCCACTTGCTTCACGGGAGACGACTGTGGGACGGAAACGACTTCTCGCATGATAGGGTTAGTTGAGCTCGGGGAGTTGGGTGACACTGAAGGAGATGGTGTTTCCACGTCAGAAGATGCTCTCTCTGACTTGACTGGTGAAATGCTAGTGTTCACGATAGCAAACACTGGAAGCGTGTCTGTGGACATGTTGTTAGCTCGTGAAGTAACTGTGGAATGAACAGTACACTTGTTTCGTGGCTGTTGACCTCCACTGGGAGTGGCCCAGTCGTCCTTCGCCCCGAGGTATAGATCCTCTGTTTCAACTCTGCTCCGATTCTTCCACATGTTGCTGGGCTGTGCTATAAGCTGTAAGCCTAGTTTATCTGCAGAAAAATCTGCCATAAAAACAGAAAATGGTAGAGATTTAGGTGGGTTTAGTGGGTTGTGTAGTTAGAAGAGAATCAATTCGCTCTCTGGCCGGGGGCTTCACGCTTTGCAAATTGAGGCGCTATGCCTGGAATGCTCTCAGAGGCATGCTAGCGCGCGAACCAATTAAGACCGTCAAACGTTAGGTTGAGGCCATGCGGAGGCCGCAGGTGACCACGCACACGAGTGGAACGTGCATGGTCAACGTAAGAACACGCGCCCACCGTACGTTTCGAAGATCCGTGTCATATTTAAAGTGTGCCACACTGCTATAGTCATTATTACGAGCACCATCTCCTTTTCCCGCCCACAGCGTGCTATTCTTCGACCCCGCCCAAATTCGTTATAATTTTGACGGCAGCGCTCAGCAAGTGATGTAGCTAATTACAATCTAATCTATGCATATGTAGGCAGCTTGCCAGGCGTGGCTCGTACTTCTTGCCCTGGACTGACATTTAAAGCTACAGCACACTGAAGAGGGTTAACCTCTGTATAAAACCATGGTTTTTGTTATTTCAGGGTATGAAGGACGCCCGTGTAAGAATCAATTGACCTTCCATGTACTTCTAGTCAGAGGTCCTGGCTAGAGAGTAGTGCCCTAATTTCTCTGATAGGTACTCGGTACCCTTTTTTAACTGGGTGTTCGTCAAGTCACGAAGTCCTTGGGAGTTCTTGGAAAGGGTCATGGGATCAAAGAGCTAAGTGAACTGGGCTAGGTCTGTACGCATATGCACTGGCTCACACACATACATGCATTTACTTAGAGAAGAGATAAAAGACAGACAAATAGATAACAAGATAGACAGAAAAAGGAAAAAGGGTTAATCAGATAGATGTTATTAATATATTGAAAACAGCACAAAAGTCTACTTAGTTCTTGCATAAAAATTATTCACTATCTAAACTTCATTTTATTTACCCTGATTGTGAAGCAGCAGTTACTATATAGTTTAGTATTTTTTTATTTTCTTCTTTATTTAAAATGATGTGAGTTTAAAGTATGTGTTTAGCTTCTTCTGTTTTTTGTCATTTATCTCTAACCAACAGAATATCTTGTTTCAAGAAAGTGTTGATCAGATATGAAGTTTAATCAAACAAAACAGGTCAAAGTCACATGAAAGTTACATCTATTATTGTAATTAATGCCACCAAAAGTAAAAATCTATATTTCCTCGGTACAAATATTTTTGAGGAAACGGTGTCGCATGTGCTAACACCAAGTGGATCTCTCTACTCAGCGTGTATACTATAGTATATGTATGAAGGTATATTAGAAAACAGTAAGCGCCGCCTGTGTATGTTAGTCTTGATCTACATATTACACTTGATTTTCAGAATGTTCTCACGTCAATACACCTTACTTACAAAACAAAACAAATTATATCAAAGAAACAGTGTAAAATCGGTCTAGAGCATGGAAAACAATATTTTTTGTTGTAGCAATATTCATATATTAGAATAACATATAAACGTTATTATTTCTAATATCTGTATTATGTTAGAGCAAAACTGTCGGAATAGGTAAATTGTGATAAATATTTGTTCGTAATATAAATACATAAATGAAATGAAATGAATGTCAGAATTTCAGTAAATAGCTCTTTTATTATTGATTAAGCAATTTAAAATAAATCAGGAACGTTCCACAATAAAAGTATGCCATGTGATTCAATTTCGTCATTGGTATCTAATGGCCTTTTCGTAGTTTTGAAAAAAAGATAAATATGTTTCGATGACGGCTTTGGTGCTTTTTGATTTCTTCCCAAGTTGCACTGCGGTATATTTATGGACTTATAACGCCAGAAACCAGGTTTCGATACTCGTGGTGGGCAGAGCACAGATAGCCCTTGTGTAGCTTTGTGCATAATTAAAAACAAACAGCTTTGTGCAGCTTTGCGCTTAACTTCAAACAAACAACTTTTGGTGTCACATGTGGTGATGACTGATAATTCATTCTTCTTGCCTGGTGCGAGACTATGTGTGTTTTTGTTGCTGTTGTATATACTCATCTGTTTCAGTTTGTGACATAGTTTGTCAGTATTAATGAGCAAATATTATATTTCGTTTAAAACAACCAGTTACATAAAACTTCTATTTCCAACACTATAACTGTTAACCATGTGATGTTTCTTTTTATCTCCGCTATCGAAGGTGATGGAGGTCATGTTTTCACTCCTGTGTGTGTGTATGTGTGTGTTTGTCAGCAAGATTTATTGAAAACCGCTGAATGGATATAGACGAAAGCTGGTACACATTTGGACTATGACCCAACTTAGAAATGATTAGCTTTTCAAGGATCAAGGATAAAGGTCAAGGTCACAGCAAGGTCAAAAATAAAAAATCTTTATCTATTAACATGGGGACCGATTTTCACTCTATTTTGCTCTATAACTCAGTCATGCTGTCAAATTTCATAATATTACAAAGCACAGAGAATGGTTGTTTACTAGCTAAGTTATACACTGAAGTACATAATGAGATTTGATTATATGATATTGGTAAACACATGGAATGGAAATAGATAGTGAGTTACATCAGAACGTGGTCAGATATGAGAGCCATCGGTGAACAGTTTTACTTATCAAGCGTGTATATAGACGTATATGTATATAAAGGAAACAGGATGATATTAAATGGAAATGTAATGACTAAGAGTATAGAAATGTGCTGTGAATAAAGCGTCATCCTTGTGTGTTTGTTTATTAAGAAACAATTATAGTGAGAAAGTCGAGTCACAACTAGATAGCACAGGCCAAACATAACAGTCAATGATCATTCATATTTTTTCAAAGAAGAACAAAAAAAAACAAGAAAAGACCTGAGTAGTGGTTGAGGCTCTTTCAGATGCCGTATCCTTTTACTGGAAATACTGCACTGAGTATGAGCTGTATTGTATGCCTCCTACCTTTGCAGTAGAATCTTAGACCGAGCTTGAGATCTATAGGATACCTTCTCCCCCTAGAGGAGAATTTTTACGCTGAGCCTGAACAATACAAAATACTTGTAGAAAATATTACGCAACAAACAATCCATTGTTAAGTTCCTTAAAATAAGGCTATAACCAAGTAATGCTATAGTAACACTGATTTATTCTGAAATAATATTAAATGATAGAAAAATTAAATTATGAACAAACCCTTGTTAGTGCTCTTTTAATGAGGCTAGATTCAATTATTGCTGCTATAAATCAGTTTCATTATGAAGTAATATAAAATCCTAGAAAACGTTAAGTAATGAAAACCACTTGTTACGTTCTTTCTAATGAAATTAGCCTCAGATATTACTGCTATAACCCCGTTTCACTGTGAAAAAAAGTTTTAAAATAGTATAAATACTTATAGTTTGTTAAGTCCCTCCTATTGATGTTGTGGCCCGGCATGGCCAGGTGGTTAAGACGCTCGACTCGCAATCTGCGGGTCGCGGGTTCGCATCTCCGTCCCACCAAACATGCTCGCCCTTTCAGCCGTGGGGGCGTTATAACGTGACGGTCAATCCCACTATTCGTTGGTAAAAGAGTAGCCCAAGAGTTGGCGGTGGGTGGTGATGACTAGCTGCCTTCCCTCTAGTCTTACACTGCTAAATTAGGGACGGCTAGCGCAGATAGCCCTCGTGTAGCTTTGCGCGAAATTCAAAAAAACAAACAAAACAAAACAAACCTATTGATGTTAGGTTCAAGTATTATTGCTGTAAAATGTGTACATTATGAAGCTATACAATTCCTAGGAAATATTATGCACATTTTTTGTTTCATTGATCGTACTTTTGTAAAGGTTCAAGTAATGAATTGTACTTCACATAAAAGGTTTAAGATAGACTTCTCTATCTATTAGCATAGATCTCCATTAGTACATGATGACGCCACTGAAGTGGGTCTTTATTAGGACCTGACAAACCAGTTTAGCGGATCTTCTTTAGGACCTAAAGAACCCAATGGATGGATCTTTATTAGGACTTGATGAACTCATTGAGCAGTCTTCATTAGATGGTGATGAAATCACTAAAAAAGGTCTCCAATACGGACCTGAAAAACCGCTGTAGTAGGTCTTCAATGAGAACCTTATGAAGCCGTTTAATGATCTGATGAAATCATTGATGTGAATACAAATTAATGACCTGATGGTGAAGCCACTGAAACGGGTCTTCATTATGACCTGGTGAAGTTGTTTGAATCCTTTCATATGAAATCGTTTTGCCGGATACACGTAGAATTATTAAGATGGATTTTCAAGTAGAAAATGTTTGTAAATGTTTACTCACACAAACACTTTTATGATATATATGTATGCAAAGAGAGCTTTAATAGCATACGCTATAGTTCAATGTATATGTGATGCTTCTTTAGACTACTCAGCAAGATTACAGAAGGTCGAACACTTATAAATGGCACACTGCACATTTGTGTTTATAAACAAAATAGGTCAGGTGGTCCAAATAAACATAGTATCATGTCATTTCTTATCACTGGAGCTTAAATATTCTGCCTGATGTAGCGACAAAATGATTAGCATTTCGCGGTCTTGTCTAAGAGAAAAACTAGCCCGAGATATCATTTGACACACTGCCTTTTTGAAAAGCTTTGATTTCTACTTAGGGTTTGAATTTCTGCTAAATAATATAAATGAGTGTATCACAAAAGTAGACCTTCCTAATCATTTATTGTGAATCAGCAATCGGAAGTAGATCTCAAATTGTTATGATTGTAGTTCATACTTAATCATTCAAGCTTAGCATAGCATTCATTCACGTGATATTAATATAAGCACCAAATGAAGGTTCGATGTCCGTTCAATCTATTTACATAAGCATTTCTGTAACAAGAAAGACATACTGGTTTACAGCTTAGAGATGTGCACTTGGCAGTGTCTGTATGTTCGTAACGTGCTCTATTTTTGTCATTTAACTTATAGCAATTTCAATAAGAAGTGTAACGTCAACCGGAACTTGCGTCATTGTAGTTTGTTTCTTAGTAGGGTCTTTTGTTGCTAAAGGAGTTGTAAAGAACGGATGTAGGGCTAAGTAAGTCAATTGGAACCATACGTTGTCTGAACTCAGGGTTAACGATCGGAACGATGAAGTAACGTACAACGTGAGTCAAACGTATACTAATAATCGTCTCTCCGTAGTGTCATACCTATTCAACGAGAACAATGGACACATTCACAGTATGTCACGTTAACCATTATCCTACGTTCGATCAACAAAAAAGAGAGGTAGAATGATCCATGTTTATGGCAAT